TAGGATGAATGTCAATTTACACCGTCTGCGATATTGATATTTTGAGTAACCATTGATATTTACATCCGAGTCCACCGGGAATATGCAACCAAAGTATAATGAATACGATATTTTTACTGGGGGTTTGAATCATTTATGACCAATGTAAAGGGCTATGTCACCTAACAGTCGAATTGCCGTTCCGAACATAATGTAATGTAAATAATTAATTATTTGTGAAGAGTGAACCGTGGCTTCTCATACGCAATGTAGTCGTAAGGGAGTCTCTTTGAAGATGCTGTTCTGCTGATTTAAAAATTGACATGTGTTTCTTGTTGTAATGCATTATAACATACAAACACATACAGTACGAAAACGTACTACATGTAAAAAGGAACCCCATTGTGTTTTGATAAACTTTGAAACCTCATCCTAACGGGATGTAAGCTATTCAGCAACTCATACTATCTTATGTTAAGGATGGATTATCTTTTAAATTTAAAGGTTTTCATTTCTGTTGCCAGTACAGTTAGTTAAAACGACCAAAGAGATACATCTCCTTTCCACCTTAATCCAATGAGCATCATAAATAATCATGAAGGGTGACAGTGCTCTTCAACTTAAAAAAAGCGTAACGTAAAGTTATTAAAATCAGTCGAAGACTTTTTGGTTTTACAACGTTTACGTTTTTCCTATCCGCAAAAACGTTGTCCGATACATTCCCCGGCCACCAATGGGCAAAGGGATAAAATTACGCATGCGTATATAGATCTGCATTCAGCATCTCGTTGTCCATACACTCTTCACACGTGACCCCAGTGACCTCTGAATTGCGGTGACATAGTGGGATATCACTTATATTTTAGGGTAAAGAGGTAATGAAAGTTGACGAACGAGATTTTAACGTGACAGTCTCGAAATGTAACAAAGCAAAATTGAATTTCTCGATAAAATGTCCTTTGATTGGTTGAAATAAATATGTTTTCTGATTTTGTTGAAATTTGCGAAGGTGTGTAATTAAGCATTGAACTGTTTTTGTATGGTATTTATGATCTATTTGAATGAGACAGCTTTGCAAGCAAACGCATCATAATGCGCTATGTCTATATGGTGATTTAAGTTTATCAATAGAACTCTGAGCTGAAAGTTAGATTTGAAATTGTTTCGATTTTCCCCCGGAACAAATTTCGCACTTGGACAAATACAGTGAACACCGTAAATCCGACCTTGCCCTCCACGAGGGAGTGTTTTTTTTGGGAAGTTAATTCGAACTTTGCTCTTTGCTCATTCTGTGAAGAATCCAGACGTGAATGTATTTGTTGATTGTATGGGAACCTGACAACAGTCGGTAGATTCTATAACATCCTCGTTATTTGACATGTCGTCAGAAACTGAGGAATGGTGGATGAGAGACGCGTGAAACTGATAGCGTTTGAAGTGAGTGATCTTGCGACAGAGCATAGGTTCGTTACAAATGTCTGAAATGTTTATGTGTGCTGTAACTTATATCAATAGGTCTGTAACATATGTGTCAGTAGGTCTATAGAATATGTGTATTTCAGACATTTGTAACGAACCCCTGTTGATCAGTGCACTGTAACAAACGATATCTCTGATAAATTGCATGAGCGTTAAAGTTGTTTCCATTGCCGGCATTGGTGATTTCAACCGATGTGCATTTTGTTCGATATTGCAGACATTGGTCTTGTTTTCGTTGTAATAAAAGCGTTTTTTATTTTATTTTTTATTTTGCACATAAATTTACAATGGTATTGTCAAATCTTACAAATCCCAGCGATATTTCAGGAACCGTCATGTTTATTTATATTGGATATTGTAGTTCCGGTCAGTGTTGTATTAATACGCTAAGAATCGTGTCTCGTGATGCATGGTAATCAAAGTCCCATCAACGACACAGCTTTCAAAGAGGCTATATAGTCATAATGCCATGTAAATGTAAATATTGTAATATGAACACATTTGTGGCATTCACTTTTTTAAAAAGGCAGCCTGAGGTTGGTGTCTGATTGGTAGAAAGTATGATCGTTTCACATTTCGCTGAATTCGGTTTGCATGAGCAAATAATAACGTCATTGCGATCTTTTCCTTGTGCACCATAACGACCATGGGGGCAGTTTGGGGGACTTCTGTAATGGAACCCTTTACAATTTGAACTTGTTTATGTTGTAATTGTATCTTAGATTTTTCATTCAAGGAAAGGTTTATGATATTGTTTTAAACTTTGCCTAAAATATCTTAACGCCTTTTATAATCACATATTGCTACATTGCCGAAAATGACATTGAACCCATCTTTTAGGCTAGACGTGTACTTCAAACAATAATTGGTAATTTCAGTAAATAATATAGACATCAACTAATCATCATTTAGTTAATACGATATTAAAAGAAGACTTAACCTTCAAACGTTAAGTAAACGTTGCCAAATCCTGTTAGTGTGGTGCTGCGACACGGTTCCGGAATGGCCGGAGTTGGCTCGGAGTTGGTTCCCCTGCCTACACTACCTTTGGGCAGACCCCATTACCCCGAGAGTTCTTCTCCTCTTGCCTAAGTCCCTCCGTATGTTAGCTCTCCAAAAGGCCCATGACCTACCTACTTCAGGACATCTCGGGGAAACCAAGACATTTCAGCATGTCCGACAAAGTGTCCTTTGGTATGGAATGTCCGGCGAATGCAAGAGGTATGTATCATCATGCAAGATCTGTGGATTGAATAAGAGGGCCAACATTAAACCCAAAGCGGCCCTTGGACAGTACCATTCTGGAGTTCCAATGGAGTGGGTGCATATGGATATTCTTGGACCACTCCCTGTTACCAAGCGAGGGAACAAGTATATCCTGATGATGATTGACCAGTTTTCTAAATGGTTGGAATGTTACCCCTTGCCAGACCAGAATGCGGAAAGCGTCGCGCGAGCAATAGTGGATGAATTTATCTCCCGATTTGGCTGCCCATTAGAAATTCACACGGACCAGGGTAGGAATATGGATGGTTCCTTGGTAAGAGCAGTTTTCAACTTGCTCCAAATATCCAAGACGAGAACAACTCCCTATCATCCAGCTTCCAATGGTCAGATTGAGAGATATAATCGTACCATCTTACAGTCAATCCGGTGCTTTGTGCAGGGGAAGCAGTGCAGTTGGGACCGACACCTACAACAACTGGCAGGATCTATAAGAGCAACCCAGCATCGACGGACTGGATTCACTCCTAACCGGATGATGCTTGGTAGGGTAGTTACTCAGCCGCTATACATTTATCTGGATACCTCTAGAGTGCAGAACCGGGTGGAGAGCCCTGCAGAGTACGTGCTTAGTCTGGAAAAGGTCCTGCAGGAGGTACATCAGATTGCCCGCCAAAACCTCAGTGGTACACAACACAGACAGAAGAGGGATTATGACCTCAAGGTTCACCAAAGGGCTTACAAGGTAGGGGATGTAGTCCTGAAGGTTGATTCCTACACGAAGGTCGGGGTTTCGAAAAAACTGAAGGCACCTTGGAAGGGTCCTTATCTGGTAACGGCTGTAAAATCCCCCGTCCTTTTTGAGATAACGGCCGGAAAGGAGTCGGCGTGATTCATCATGACCGTCTCAAACTCTGTAAGGACAGGGAGTTCCCAGTTTGGTTGAGGATAATGAGGAATTGAACAGTCAAGACCAGGTAGCAATCTCGAGGAATCCCAGGTTGAGGAAGATTGGGGGCTACGAAGTCTGTTCTCCTGTAAGGCTCCGGTGGCGGTGTCGGAATCTCTGATACGTGACCGAGGCAAACAGGGTGACCGGGCTGTGGTGACTAGTCTCCAGGAGACCTCGGAACAGGAGGTAGAGGGCTTGGACCAGACATTCTTATATCAGGCTGACGCTGCTCGATCAGTGACACTGGACTGCCCGAGCCGGCGAACTGGACGCCGGAGGAGGACTCCAGGACAATTACAGGATTATGACCTGTCACTTGGGGAGTGATAGGTTGTATGCAGGATTGATGTAAATACTTTGTATACATGGTAAAGGTTTTGTATATATATTGTGTGTTGTTTTAGCACCATGGATTACCAGGAGGAGGAGTTCATCCCGGACTATGAGGAGGACATTGAGGCGGTTGACAGAATTCCCGGTTCTACTCATGGCTCTAAGAGGGGAAGAGTGTGTTTCATCTGCTCAGGTCGTTTTACCCATGCTCGGCGTCATGTGGTGAGGACACATTTACCCTGGTTCTGCTACCCTGACTCGGCATGTTGGCAATGTGAAATCCAATTTGGACAGTTGAAATTCCTCCAGATTCATGAGGACAATTATCATGGTGGAACGGACGAGAATCGTGGTTATAACTGCGATACTTGGGCGACAATGATGAGGGCGCTACTGGCGGAAGTGGGAAGAAGGAACTGCTCCACGTCCCTGTTTCAGGATGGCGACATGCGCCTCCTTCAGGCATTTAATCGAGTGTGCGGATCAGGAACCAATACGCCTGTCAGCGGTGGCCAGCTTGGAGAAGGGATACATGGGCTACTACACTGGAGGGTCCTATCAACTGCGATTCATATGACGGCCGGATCAGAAGAACTTGTCAACTTCAAGATGGGAGGGGTCCCGAAGGAATCAGTGGAGCTGGTAGACTCACATTTCCATCTTGACATGTGGTGCCGCCGCAGCCAGGAACCTCGCCTTGGGGAAGAGGGGCCGGATAGTGCTACCCAATTGGTCTTGGTGATTGCCAACTATTGCTATCCCCGGAATTGGCCGACTGGCTCTGCCCGACGGGATATTAGAAGGGATACCCGGGTCAGGTTTAGTTTTGGTATCCATCCCCGACTCGCTGCCCTCGAGAGTGATCAAACTCTGAGGAAAATGGGGTGGGAATTAGAAAGGCTGATGGATGTTCAGGGAACTGTGTCTGTTGGAGAATGTGGCCTGGACACCTCCGGAAGGACATCTTGGAGGGGGCTGCAGAGGCAAAAGATGATTTTTGAGAGCCAGGTAAGAATCCCAGTGTAGCGGGGGCATGAGGACTTCTGAGGAGTGCTTGAAGATTCTGGGCAGACATCTCATGAAAACCCATCGTGTCCATCGGCATTGTTTCACTGGTGACCTTGCCGAACACAGAATGTGGAGCCAGGCCTTTCCAAACTGTAAGTTTGGCATCTCTCCACTAATCCTTAGAGATCGGTCACTCAGATCCGTGGTGAAGCAGCTTTCTCTTGAAGACCTCCTGATTGAGTCTAATGCCCCATACCTTCCATTAGAGAGAGGAGGTGTTGGTTCCCCTTTCCAGGTTGAGGGTGTGGTTGAGGCTATTGCTGAGGATCGGGCCATATCGATACGTTCCGTCGCTGAGGCCACCACCAGGAATGCGAGGGGGCTCTACCATATTGAGTGATGTTGCTCAGCCACCTTGGAAATAGTATACATATTGTAGATGTGTTCCGTATGATTTTAGTCCGGTCATTGCTTGCACAAATGACTACCAATTCAAGTGGTGTGTTTTAGCTGATGCTGCTTTCTGTGTATAGGACTGGCTTTGTAATTGTTGGGCTTTTTTGTGTCACGTCTGCTTGTCTGGTGATTTGGATAGTTATAAACTTGACAGAATATTCTTGATGGAATTTACGTTAACTAGGGGTCTTCCTTCATAAGATTGGGAAGAGTGTGGTGCTGCGACACGGTTCCGGAATGGCCGGAGTTGGTTCCCACTACTAGTAGGCAGGCGAGGATAACCGAGGTGTTCCGGGTGAGGAACAGTGTTGACCAAGATCCTGGACTGGACAGACGTACCTGCATAGCGGAGCCGTTTCCGGAAAGGATTGTCATCACTCACAGTCGTCAGACTGCCTGTATGCTTGAGAATAGTCCAGAGCTGTTGTGAGTAAGCATATAAGGCTAATCACAACATTACTACCAGATCAGGAACATCGGCTGTATTCGGCAGTTTCTAACTGCAGATGCATGCAAGATTTTGGTGCATTCACTTGTTACCTCTCGGTTGGATTATGGTAACGCCCTGCTCTGTGGTATATCTGACAAACTAACTAGTCGTCTGCAGAGGGTCCAGAACACTGCAGCACGGCTAGTTACTCGTACTCGAAAGAGAGAGCACATCACACCTGCGCTTTATTCGTTGCACTGGTTACCTGTACGATACAGGTCGCAGTACAAAATTCTGGTATACACATACAAGGCACTGAATGGAACAGCTCCTCAGTACCTACAGGAACTTGTTACCCTGTATCAGCCGTCAAGATCACTGCGGTCGGAGTCAGAATCTTTGTTGTGTGTCCCAAAATCTCGTACTGTGACCTACGGAAACAGATGCTTTGGGAGGGTTTCGGCTACGTTGTGGAATAGCTTACCATCTGCTATTAGGAAGTCAAATACCCTGGCCAAGTTCAAGAGGGACATACAAACTTACCTCTTAACGTCTGCATTTTAGAATCTTTGCAAAGACGTCATGTAAATACCACCCTTTTATTTGTTCAATTATGTGCACATTGCTTGTTAAATGTATGAAAGTGATTGCAAGCCTTTGTTGTTTGTTTTCACAATTATAACCATTACTAGTATCCATATGTTGTAAAGCGCCTTAGAGTAATTTTACAAATTATATAGGGCGCTATATAAATGCTGTATATTATTATTATTATTACATTTAGCCTGTCGTGTGATAATAATGACAGACAGACAGACATTCTTTTTTTCCTCTTGTTGCCCTGTTTTAAGGTAATTAAATCCAGTACAGAATGCAAGCTCAATGGTCAAGTCCCTGAAAGTCTTACTAGCTTAACAAGCATCTAGTAATGTTACAAACATTAAAAATCTAAACAGTATATATCGATATTAAATTATTCACATTTAGGCAATGAGTACACAAAATTTATATGTAATTAATCATATTTCTGAAGAAAAAGTAAAGCTTTGGATGTAGTTACTTATATAACATACAATTCAATGAACAAGGCTAAACACGGGTTCTGGTGCAGCCTAGTGCCTCGTGTATCGTCAGCTTTAAACACGTAGCATATGATCCGCACGGTAATAATATGTGCAATATGTAACAAATAAATATGTATAGGACATGAGAATGACCTTTCCTTATTAACAGAGAATAGCCTGTTTTCGAGAATGCGGTCGATAAATTGCCTTTTTATATGTGATACTATTTAACTCATCTTTTGTGACATAGCTTTATTAGCTGATGTTAAACGAAGTTTTAAATCAATATTCGATAAAAAAAAATCTCAGATCTGCTCTTATCAATCTTTAATGATCAAAAATGCATCAAAGCCGTAAGTTATAACTAGGTCAGTAAGCTATCTAGCCGGATGCATTAGTGTGCTATTTAGTGTACGACTATCGGAGGTTCCGCGCAGTCTCTATTCCCCTGAGACATCCAGGATAAACGCCGAGACGAGTGTTCCATTATATACATATATCAAATTAATTTCCGGTTCTGGGTGGCTTTGTAATTAATAAGGATGTACCTTCCCACAGGTATAGCTACAAACAACCCTGACGTTATATAACAGTGTATCGTGTTCGTTCAGTGCTGTGCTAGTACATGATACGAGCAGAAGCATATCTGTGTTGACCTCGCGACAACATTACTATTTAACATGGCCTCCAAGCAAAGACATTAAAAATGCAAAACTTCATTAGTGTAAGGTAATACTGCATTTATTTATCCAGTATTAGGATTTTATGTTATCATAGTGATTTACATCGATATTTTTGAATATATTGTACATGAAAAAAAGAAATGTTATCAAACATAATATTGAGTAATAATGATTGAGTACATCAGTATTAGACACATATGGCTCAGATTCCTGTGTTGACATTGGATGTCATATACAATGACCCCGGCTGCCAGATAGCCCAGGACCACCAGTAGAGGCATGTCAACGAGTGTTTACAACGGGAGGGTAGTCGGATAAAAACAAGCTCACATTTCCTAATTCGTTTCTAAACCCTTATGTTTTGTTTTGTTTTGTTTTAATTAAATCAATTAGTTAAATCGTCAATAAATAGCTAAAAACCAGTCAAAAAACGTTCCACCTTTTTTTTCTTCAAAATACAATAGGCCATTGCAATTCATACATAAGTAAAGTATCTTGAAACTAAAACGCGATGGATTATGCTTGGATTATAAATTGAAATGTATTTTTCATTCAAATTCATGCAAGAAATAAATGTTTTAATGTTCATTTATAGAAATGTTTATGCTTGATTAATAACGTAAATAATGGAAATTAAAGTCGAGAATATTACGTAAATGACAGCGGATCTGTACAAATAGTTATACATATGAAAGTAATTATTATAACCCCATGAAAATAAAACTCTGATACAAATCAATAGTTAATAAAAATAATCAATAACTAACACCAATCGTTAACTGATATAGAGTATGTCACAACCACGTAAATGATAAAACAAGGTAATATTCAATCTAGCTGCAATTAATGTTATTATAATGGTCCCAAGGAAACCTGGACGTCGTGGTTACCGCTACATAACCATTGTCTATCAAACTCCATTAGAGCAATGATACAAGCTATTGTTGCAGACGTACAGTTATAATAACGTCCTAGTTTAACATAAATATTGAAATGTTACATCAGGTGTTTTTATTAAATATTCATGAACTTTCCTATTTTAACCTTCATTTTAATATAATATTAGGGGTTTTATTATTAATGGATTTCCCAGCAATACAGCACTTCAAGACTCGGAGTAATGACTCAGTTTCCATAACAAACGCAAGTCCCACGCTAGAAAAGGGTAAGTTGGGGGAATGGAGGGGGAGGTTGGCAAGTTGGGGGATGGACATCCTTTCACTTATCAATTCTTGTATTTGTCATTTAGGGGATATGGATTCAAATGTGTGAAAGGTTGTTATTCAGGTGGTAAATATGCCAAATTTTCAAATTTATATATATATGAAACAAATCGAGAAAAGGTATACTGTCTTATCATCTGTGTGTGTGTGTTATGTTAATCTTTTTGACCGTATTCAATTTAAATTCCATACTTTGCATATATTGTAAAAAGCTTCAGCTTTTAATGCAATAAGACAAAATCGAGACCATCTTAGTGTATCATACGGTGCTAAAGTATGACAAAATTCAGTCTTGGACGCAGAGATAGGGACGGCTAATGACGTAAAATCATGTAAAAGTTTGCTAATGCGTGTATCTTTTGTTCAACGAAAACCATCCTAGAAGGAATGGAAATAACAGGTATTCTTCACATATCCAATAATAACATGAAGTTTGAGTAAAATAATCAAAATCGTATTTTAAACAATAACATTCATTTTTAAAAACGTTATTTCAACAAGAAGACCCTGCTCCGTTTAACGATGGTGGACGGTTTCAAATCGTTTCTATTCTTTTAAATATTATTTGTAAACAGGCCACTGACGAGACCTCATTCCAGATATAATCCCTGTTTCCTCCCAACATTTAAGTTATGCAAATTTTGTCCAAATTCTGGCAGGATTCAAATACAAAACTGAAATACATGTTATATTCTTTTGTAAAATGTGATTGTATCGATCGTTCGTTTAACAAAAGCAAGATGTAATAAGCTAAAAATGGACTACTTATATTTCAAATCTACCGTGTATAATTGGAGTCAGATCTGTTCCATATACTATAATTGGAGTCAGATATGTTCCATATACTATAATTGGAGTCGGAACTGTTCCATATACTATATTTGGAGTCAGATCTGTTCCATATACTATAATTTGAGTCAGATCTGTTCCATATACTATAATTGGCGTCAGATCTGTTCCATATACTATAATTGGAGGCAGATCTGTTCCATATACTATAATTGGAGTCGGAACTGTTCCATATACTATAATTGGAGTCAGATCTGTTCCATGTACTATAATTGGAGTCAGATCTGTTCCATGTACTATAATTGGAGTCAGATCTGTTCCATATCCTATAATTGGAGTCAGAACTGTTCCATATACTATAATTCGAGTCAGATCTGTTCCATATACTATAATTGGCGTCGGAACTGCTCCATATACTATAATTGGAGTCAGATCTGCTCCATATACTATAATTGGAGTCAGATCTGCTCCATATACTATAATTGGAGTCAGATCTGCTCCATATACTATAATTGGAGTCAGATCTGCTCCATATACTATAATTGGAGTCAGATCTGCTCCATATACTATAATTGGAGTCAGATCTGTTCCATGTACTATAATTGGAGTCAGATCTGTTCCATGTACTATAATTGGAGTCAGATCTGTTCCATATAATATAATTGGAGTCAGATCTGTTCCATATACTATAATTAGAGTCAGATCTGTTCCATATACTATAATTTGAGTCAGATCTGTTCCATATACTATAATTTGAGTCAGATCTGTTCCATATACTATAATTGGAGTTAGAACTGTTCCATATACTATAATTGGAGTTAGAACTGTTCCATATACTATAATTGGAGTCAGATATGTTCCATATACTATAATTGGAGTCAGAAATGTTCCATATACTATAATTGGAGTCAGAAATGTTCCATATACTATAATTGGAGTCAGATATGTTCCATATACTATAATTGGAGTCGGAACTGTTCCATATACTATAATTGGAGTCAGAAATGTTCCATATACTATAATTGGAGTCAGAACTGTTTCATATACTATAATTGGAGTCAGATCTGTTCAATATACTATAATTGGAGTCAGATCTGTTCAATATACTATAATTGGAGTCAGATCTGTTCAATATACTATAATTGGAGTCAGATCTGTTCCTTATACTATAATTGGAGTCAGATCTGTTCCTTATACTATAATTGGAGTCAGATCTGTTCCTTATACTATAATTGGAGTCAGATCTGTTCCATCTACTATAATTGGAGTCAGATATGTTCCATATACTATAATTGGAGTCGGAACTGTTCCATATACTATAATTGGAGTCAGAAATGTTCCATATACTATAATTGGAGTCAGATATGCTCCATATACTATAATTGGAGTCAGATCTGTTCAATATACTATAATTGGAGTCAGATCTGTTCCTTATACTATAATTGGAGTCAGATCTGTTCCATATACTACAATTGGAGTCAGATCTGTTCCATATACTACAATTGGAGTCAGATCTGTTCCATATACTATAATTGGAGTCGGAACTGTTCCATATACTATATTTGGAGTCAGATCTGTTCCATATACTATAATTGGAGTCAGATCTGTTCCATATACTATAATTGGAGTTAGAACTGTTCCATATACTATAATGGGAGTCAGATCTGTTCCATATATACTATCATTGGAGTCAGAACTGTTCCATATACTATAATTGGAGTCAGATCTGTTCCATGTACTATAATTGGAGTCAGATCTGTTCAATATACTATAATTGGAGTCAGATATGCTCCATATACTATAATTGGAGTCCGATCTGTTCCATATACTATAAGTGGAGTCAGATCTGTTCCATATTCTATAATTGGAGTCGGATCTGATCCGTATACTATAATTGGAGTCAGATCTGTTCCATATACTATAATTGGAGTCGGATCTGTTCCGTATACTATAATTGGAGTCATATCTGTTCCATATACTATAATTGGAGTCAGATCTGTTCCATATACTATAATTGGAGTCAGATCTGTTCCATATACTATAATTGGAGTCAGATCTGTTCCATATACTATAATTGGATAGAAACTGCTCACGAATATGTTCTAAGATACCAAAGTTTATTCACCAGAACACGTAACTACGTCAACACCAATATATAAACATGCACATTATGAACGTTTGAAGATACTTTGACCTTAATGTTTAACTACAGAAGGTTATTGATATTTCCCGACCCTGCACCACACAATAATATGAATAGTCTACAAAAGTGCATGTACTTGACTTATAATATTGTTATATACAAATATACCACCTATTCCGAACACTTCAGGTTTGTTATCCAAGTACCATACTTTCACCCATCTGTAGCACATTTAACAGAGCAATCGGACTATTCCTACTATCATCCATCTTTGAAATATGAGTTAGGATAATCGGGATGTTTCCTCTGTCGTTCATCTTCAACACAATGTATTGAATTCAGCGTCCAAGGAGATAGAACATGCAGGGTATTACACTTTTTACGAAGTAGATAGATATTCGGGATGTAACTGCTTTCACCCACCTGTGCAACATTAGACAGGAATTTGGGGTGTTATTACTTTCATTAACCTTGAGGTAACATCCGACTTGAAGTGTGCGACGGCAATGTTTGAGAAGGAACGGAATGTTGGTAACATAACAGCGTTCTAGACATGGGTCGCCATATATATTCTACAACCTCGTGTCAACCGAACATCATTAATCAATTTCCGGGAATGTTTCAAATTGTAACAATATGTTGAGGTGGATTGTTTAATAGCAAATCCACTTCGTTAACTTAGCGTAAGACTACTTACAGTTCAAGCACCATTTAATACATTATTTCCATTTTTTATGTATATCCCCCCACCAACACAAATATTTACATCCATGACGTCACTTCCGCTATAACTGATGAAGGTTGTCACATGACCGTTCCTTTTTACTTCCCTTTCTAAACAGTTTGTGCAGTAGACCTTTGGCCGCTTTGAAAGAACCTTTCCTCTCCTTACTTTTTTTAATGTCCTCTCCTACGAATGCGCTTTGCGACATTTTCAGTCTAATCTGTTTCAATATTCCAACAAGGAGCTCGTCTACGTGATGGTTCAGGGCGGCAGATGTCTCGGCATACTTACAGTCTAACTTAACGGCGACGGATCGAGCCTCTGGAAAGTATATAAAAATATGTATCACTATGCATTAATAATTTAATCAGAGATTCTTTGATTATTACGTAATTTTCAAAATGATCTATAGAATGTGCTTAATAATCACCTGTTACAGTAGTTATACATCACAGTTTGGTATTAATCTATAGTAACTGGCATCGTCTGTTACGCTAGGATTTCTCATCCATCACAGGTTCTGTAACCTATGTGATAAACTATAATGGAAAACGCTGAGTTCGCAACGCGATTTCTCACTCCATCTCCTTATTGCAATTCTCTTTCATCCCTTTATATTCGAGATACATTTAAGTCTTCTTTTCAAAATGTGACGAAAAGTGCCATTTAAAAACATTACGACTTCAATACGAGCATTAAGGTTCAACACGCCTAAAATATGGTAGGGTCACCTTATATTTCACCCCCCTGATAATCCTATTTAAAAAAAAACGTTTACAGATCAGAATTCGGATATATGATTTTGATATTTTAAACTTGTACTTAAGGTTTTCGAATCGAATATATAGCGAGGTTCATCTTATTCAATGCTTGAGAAATTAAGGCTAATGCCTTAATGAAAATACTTACCTGGTATTGGAACATGACAATATCGGATGCTACGAAATAACACATTGTCTGAAGTTTATTTATATACTTAGGACAGGCGATGCTTTATTTCTCTTTCATTAGCTGTGGAGAGGCACACCGGCCTCAAACAACGATGTGCGTGATCATACAACACCACTTGAATCGTATTAGAATTCCTCAGTAATATATTTTAACATATTGTCGAATAAGAAAATGAAGCCAAGTAACCTAGATTGATAAACGACCTTACGGAGAAATGGTAATTAATAATGATATGTGATGTTATTAATATTAAACAGTGTACATGACAAGTGCTATGTTATTTATAACATGTCTTGCTTTCCTTTACGGAAAAACCTGGTTTATTCTCCTCGTAATATTTAGAATTGATGTAAATCTTTCCTTTGGTCATAGTTTGCCCTAGTTGTATCGGTATTGAGCTTGAATTATGTTTTTGTTAACATTTCGATATTTTCTTGTTGTTTTTTCTTTATAATAACACTGAAGTTTTCAAAAGAACAATTATATAACGTTCAGTTACTCATCACAGCCACAAGGCCTTTGGTTTCGTATTTATATACCGGTAAAACATATAACTGGAGCGTTTTACTTTGTTATTTGTGCTTTCACAAAACCCCGACCATCTTGGTTTTGAAGCAAGCATAACCTTCTACGGACAGTAAACGAGATAATATGCTCCGAATGACCAAAGTCTATAGATGAACTGTAGACAATCTAATATTTTGTAGCAATAGGTCACAGAGGAGATTGATATTGTAACAATGCCGGTGAACATTTGTATGAAAACATCGGCATTAATGGTTTATCGCAAACTAAGTTAACATAACTATGTATCTTACATAATTCATCAATCAAAAATGAATATCTGAAATCCGATGTCTAAATGGAGTATTTAAATATGGTCTATCATGGAGCTGAAATTAAGGCTGACAATTACATCTTTTAGTGGGCTTGTTAAAACTTTAAGTATGATTGTTCTTATTATTTGTTGGAATAAATTGAATAATCCATTTAGTCTACAGACACACTTTAAGGGAATAAACCCCAAACAATAAATTTAAATTCCAATTCCAAATGATATGGCACGTACGTTACCAAGAACATAGAACATGACAGCATCACATGACCTCTTTTTTTCTTTCTTTTTTTAGCAACATTATTGTCAGTTATAAAGACGACGGTACAATTGTGTGAGAAACCTGTATGAATATTTTCCCAATAAAATAAGCTAATAAGAACTAAGGTATGTATCAAGTGTGATGTGTAAAAACGCTAAAATATATATCATTACAGTTCAAAAATCAACTTCAGGGAAAACTAGATATTGTAGCATCCTTGATACCCAGGAGTTACACTCACTTACTCTCTGCATCCCTGGAATATAGTTCGATGATTTGAGGAACATACAAAGAACCTCGCGGTCGCATAACGGTAAACAATGGATGACTTTGAAGTCGGGTGTCGCCCCTTTGTAATCTTCAAAGGAAGGGTATCAGCCTGGCGATTGGTCAGTTTTTTTTTACCGGAGACCACTCAAACAGCTGTCTTTAAGCCATCAATGTTATTATAACATATTCCAGGGACGCAGAGAGCGTATTTGAGCGTACATGGGTAACCCCTGGTATTGAGGATGATATATTAGAGGCAAAAGGAATTATATATCTCGAGTGAAGTAGTTGTGACAGGTCAAGTTTTTCATTGTTTGTGCGTATGAGCTGGGAACACGTAAAACCCAATTTAGCAGGAAGTGGGTTGGGGTAGTATGGTGATGAAGTCTCTTAAATGTGTTTGCAAGAGTAAATATCTCATTTATTTATTAATTACACTTGCTCTTTTATATGAATTGATTCAATGTTTTTTTAGTATTGCGATCTACATGTAATCCAAATAAACAGGAAATAATCAAAATCAAAAGGAGAATGCGAAGATAACAGCTCTGCGATATTGATTCAAGGTACAACTCGGTGATCTGAGAGTTCCGAATAGTTCTGAAAAAATCAATTAGAAAAACTACCCTCCCAGAACGACGGATTGAGTCAAGGCTCCTGCAAGAGAGTGACACGGACAAATAACTGTTTCACATGGTATAGAACAATTCCATCTATATACACCGTAGATAGGTTTTGATAAATTGTGAATATATTTTAGTTGTTTGTCCCAAATCAAGTAATTTCGCGGATTTAGGATTTAGTCACGTTTTTAAGGAGCATCGCTCGTTTAAGATCGAAGAAGTTTACTTACCGTCAGCACTGACTTGGCGTTTTCGCGCCAAATCTATTTTGTTAGCCACGAGGATGATAGCTCGGTCTGTGGCTACCTCGTTTCGGAGCTGAAAAAGAAGGTCACTAGCTGCTTCAAACGTTCGCCGGTCATTTGTCGAATAAACAACAAGAAAAGCGTCAACTTGAGTCTCGTCAAGGTCAACCTGAAACAAACAAGGTTAAGGTTATAACGAAAACATTGTCATCCACTTAAACCACTATTTCAATGCAATGTAGGATCAATCAAAACGTTAAAAGAAAATAATTAAAAGAATATTTTTTTCTCTTAATTATAAATCAAAAATGAAATCAACATGATATGCTAGTTTTTAAGAGGATTTTAACACACTTTAGAAACGATATATATATACACTAAACTTAACAACTGGACATTTCCGTGTTTTTGATACCTCAAATGCCCAGTTCTGCCAAAAGTGTAGGCCTGCTGACGCCATTTGAACATAGTCTAGTTTAAGTCGCAGAACCATTTATTTGTTGAATAACAGGACTGTCCACGTGTTTGACCTGATTGATTTTACTGTAACTTGTGTACGGGCAAACAATACATTAACAGGACTTTTCTTTTTCATATAGATACAACGGTTAACAGTGACTGCCGTTCCAAGCTACGAAATCAAGAAAAATGATAAAGTCGACCGCTATTCCTCCAACAATGACACACCCATATGTGCGTTTTATAAACGAATGGTAAAGTTTCAAAGGATATTCTTTGATCACTTGTGAAGCTTAGACTCATTCCGACATTGTGTAATATGGTTGTTAATGTGTTGTCTATGAAAGTCGCAGGACCAAACCTTGTAGTATGATCGCTTTTTTCATGTTAACTAGCGCGATAATATCCCCCCCCCCCCCCCAAAAAAAATATATATATATACACAAAAAAGGACTCGGTAAGACAATCAAGAATTTCATCCCCCGGGTTTGCGATTTCTCTGTCACACCCTCACGGTAGGAAAATTATATTAGTCTTCGTGGTATTTGTCAAGGAGAGCTGTAGCCCGCGACGATTCCTATGTGTCCTTATGTTATTCGAGCAGAGTTGTTGCTCGAAAGTATTCCAACACGTACTGCATTTGCGAAGGGGGTTGAACGCTAACAAATATTTATAATGCATTTAGCCAGAAGCAATTAGGTGTTCGCAATGCTTCCTTGTTGGTATTTGTACATTTCTACTGCCCCCCCC